TGTGTGTGTGTGTGTGTGTGTGTGTGTGTGTGTTAGCACTTGTTTGCATTAATAACCTCCTGTCTCTACCTTTATTCTTCGTACAATGTGTTCTGTTCAATAAATCTTTTATAGATGATACAGATGATATTTCATGACTTCCCTGGATTATTGCTTAACACTGACATTAGGGATCTAAAATGTTTGACAGTAGCACGGTCGGTATGTCTGCTGGAAAAAAACCAAATACATAATAAACAAACAATTTATATCAATTTTATTTTATTTATGCAGAGTAAATTTGCAAAAGCAGTCGCCTCAGGTACTTTATCTTGTAAGGTAGAAACCCGACAACAATACAGAGAAATCCCCAACAATCAGCCGACCCCTTCTGAACAAGCACTTGGCCACAGTGGGAAAGAAAAGCTCCCTTTTAACAGGAAGAAACTTCCAGCAGAGCCAGGCTCAGGGAGGGGCGGCGATCTAGCCTGACCTGATGGGGAGTGATGGGTGAGGAAAGTAAAGCCTTTTTTTAACAATGAAAAAAGTATAATACAATCACAGAGATGCATCACTCAGTTTAAGCCACATCCTGATTAGGCTGTGGTTCTACCTGTACACTCATTGATCAGTGTGGACTCACCATCTCCTTGCAGAAAGACCAGGCCCAGCACCATACACAGAGGGTGGATGTTAAACTCCTGCTTTGAGCCATTCCAGGCAAAACCTCCACGGAAGTGACCCATCCACACACCGGTTAGCACCACCGATGCCAAACCCAGCACCTGGGACACTCCCACCAGCCCCGCAAACGCAGCGCGACTACGACGGGGGGCAGAGTCCTCCATGATCTGAGAGACAGGAACAGAGCAGTTAGAACCGATGCCTTAGGCTGCACCATTTGCTGAATAAAATCAAAGTAAATTCAATTAGAAGGATGGGTTAGACAAAGATAAACACAGAGCATCAACCAAGTACCTCATAAACATTATTTTTCATCATGTCACATTATAAAGAGTTTGACTTATTTGAGCTTTTGAGAGGAAAGAAAGCTAAAATAACTCATATTTGTTTCAGGAAATTTTGCAGTACGAGAAAATCTGTACCCATGAAACATAACATCAGCCAACATCACTCCTGCATTTGTATTCCATCTTTAGGGTCTGTCTTTCACCAGCCAGTGTCAAAGACTGGGCAGTGAAAAGACTCACCAAGGGGCCGTCTACCATCCTAAAAGGATTTAGCTGAACAGTCTTCCATCTATAAAAAGAAATATAAATATCTAAAAACAGATATACTGAATGCCCTCTGTGACCGTTTCAGGATTCAGGCCTGCTAGAACATAAAATCAGGCTGTAAACCCTTCATACACTGGTAACAAAAAGCACTACACATACATCATGACATGTCTGTTATCGTGTGCTAATATCCGGCAACGACACTCTTCTCATTCCTTACAATAAGGAATGAGAAGAGTTATGGGTTAGTTTCAGTTTCTTGGGTAACTTTTTCATAAGATGCTGTATTAGTGTATAAAATAAGCATAGAGCATGTCAATTATATTAACATGCAAGTACAACATGCACACTGATCAGGCATGACATTAGGTCTGATCATGCCTATTGTGTTGGTCCCATTTTGCTGCCAAAGCAGCCCTGACCCACTAAAGCATGGACCAAGAAGTTAGCAACAGATCCTTTAGACTTGGAAGTTGCGAGGTGGGGCTTCCAGAGACTGGAATTGTTTGTCCAGCGCGTCCCACAGATATTCACTTTGTGGAAGGGCATATTTTCCTGCTGAGAGAAGCTACAGCCATCAAGGAATACCGTTACCATGAAAGGGTGTTCATGGTCAACGCAATGCAACAATGAACCTCCATTTAGCAGCAATAACAAGGTTAAAAAAAAGGTTTACTGCTGCTAAAGGAGACCGTTCTTGCTCTCTGAACTTCCAGTTTCTTAATGGATGTCCACCAAGGGAAGGAAATCAGCTGTGCTCTACTTTATCACTGATAGTCGGTTGTTTATGGCCATTCCAGGCTCTGGTTGCCTGAATTAATGAATTTGCTATCCTGACATAGATCTGTTATCCTTTGCTCTCATGTTAGTAGTCGCATTAGTCAAAATAGCTGTTGGTCCCAAGTTTAATTATTCTCAACTGTGAGGCAAGCGATTGAAGGAACAGCCAATGGGAATGCAGAACACTGTTGATTGACATAGGACAGCGAATAGGCAACAGGTGCTCTTCTTCTGTTTCACAGGAAGTAGTTTGCCTGGAAGTTTAGAAAATGTTGTTCTGGTGCCAGCACTTATTTCACCCATAGTCACTTGAACGTCATTGACTTTCTATGGTCTCTGCTCACCTTGTGGTTGTTGCTCTTAACCTCTCACTGAAATTCTGCAAAACATCAGCTGGACAAGCCTAAATCCTGATGCCACTGCCACCGTGCTTCTTCTTTGGGTTGATGTTTTCATGCATTCCCTAATGTGCGTCTAAGAAATGCATTAAAAGGTATAAAATAGCATAAAATGGAATAACCTATTTGTAATGGCTCCTTCATGTACTTACACGTCTTTGCGCTGAACTGCGCTAAACTACTGACGCATAAAAGGAGCAAAAAGTCTGTTTCATTTCACAACAGGATCTTAAAGTTCCTGATGTCACTGTTACAGAACAGAATCACCATGGCACGAACACAGCCAGCACCACACTGGCTTGAAGCGGAAGATTTAAAAATAAAAACACACAGGAGCCCGTGTCTGCTGTGTTTGACCATGTTTCATATCAACCCAAAAGGCACAAGGTATCAATGCCGCTCCCAATGCATAACAGGAAGTGTGTCACAGCTGTTACATGAGGACTGGAGCACAGAACAGCCGAATCCAACGGATTTCCACGACTGCAGCTCAAACTCCATTATCAGCTCCTCTTTGTTACAATTCACCTTCCACGCACACGGCGCGCGCGCACACACACGGGGAAGAATGACAGCAAGTCAAACAGTCGTGTTCACGCTCCCACGGTGCGCTGTTACCTGTGGGATCAACGGGACTCTCCAGCCTGCTTTAGCTGTGTCTGAGTTATGTTCACAGTGACTGTGGAAAGGCACAGAGCATAAGGTTGACAGGAAGCGTGGAGTACTTACTGCGCTCCACGGTCTGCTCGGCTGTAGCGAGGAAGTCCTGCAGAGTGGACTTTACAGATCCGCCTTCCTCCTCCTCCCTGCCTGCCACGGGGCTCAAGTGCGCCTGTGTGTGGGTGTGTGTGTTTGTTTTGGGTGGCCTTATTAGACCAAAAAAGCCCACGTGACTTTAGGACGGCGATGAGCAGTGGAAAGCATACTTATGTTTATATATGTATGTGATCGTGTTAATAATATTAATATTATTGTGAGGATGATGATATGGGGATCAAACTCTGATGTACACACAGCTCACACAGAGGATTCCAAGAAAAAGGAATCATGAAAATGAGATTTTACGTGATAAAACGTCACGACAGCGTCAAGGGAGGGGTGGGAGGGGGTTGTCTGCGTGGACTTATGACTAACAGCTTCGATGTAAAGGTTTGTTGCCTTGACAACGCTGGAGTGGGAAAGATGGAGATGGGTGCGTGAGCGAGAAGAAGAGGAGGAGGAAGATGGGAGCGCTCGTCTTTGAATGAGAGCAGCTCGTTAGTGGAGACGCAGACAGTCATAGCCACCAGTGCTTTTAAAGGCACTACCCACTCGTGTGGATTCTCAGTTTGCGTTACCTTCCAGAAAGCAAGTTTCACTCAGAGTAATGAAGACAATGGACGCAGGGGCGGAAGGGGGCGGGGGTGTTGATGTGGCACAGTAATCGGAAAAAGTCACCAGTGTATCGCTGTAAATGTACAACTATGTGCTGACAAAAAACACTATCGATGAAATATGTTGGGTTAATAGATGGAAGCAGCACTACATCTTATTATTAGCTCTAGCCCTATTAAGTCACCATTAAACCTTCTTTTTTATGTTTACAGAATTCTGGTGGGTCTGTGCACATTACAATCATTATAATTCATTGAATTATCAGATGCTTTTGTTTGTTTAAAAAAATTTCTGATAGAATTTCCCAACTTCTTAAAACAATCACGGATACACATCTACGTTCTGCGCATCATTTCCTGCATTCTCTTAAACCTTTAAGCATCAATATGTGCATGACAGCAGAAATATATTTATTCCAGTAAAGGAAAGCACACACACACACACACACACACACACACACACACACACACACACACACACACACACACACACACACACACACACACA